GCTGGGCATGGTAGCACGCGCTTGTAGTTCCAGTATACTTGGAAGGCTGAGGCAGAAGGAGTGATGGAGCCCAGCAGGTTGAGGCTGCAGTGGCCGGGAGTGGCCACTGCACTCCAGTCTGGGTGACAGAGTGAGACTCCAACTCAAAAAAAAAAAAAAGAAAGAAAGAAACTAAGTTATTAACATTGACTCAGGAATAATTATGAAAAAGAGCACAGGTATTACTAGGGGAAGTTTTTGTACCCCATCCTCACTCCCACCCAAGGATATTGTAATGTTCTGAGACATTTTCAATTATCATATTGCACAGAAAAAAATTAACTATTCACCCTATCAAAATCTAGAACTGCTACCCGCTTTCTTATATATCACCATAAGTGATTCTTCTACACACATTAAATCATGTGGGTAGGAGAGGCATGAGTAACTCCTGTTTCACAGACTCTCTCTTTCTGTGAAAAATGCCTTAGATACAAAGTTGAGTTATTTAGACTAAGTTGCTCTTGGCAATAGCTTGACACAGAAACTTTGTTTTTTTTCTGAGTTGGAGGCTCACTCTGTCACCTAGACTGGAGTGCAGTGGCACGCTCTCAGCCACCGCAGTCTTGACCTGCTGGGCTCAGGTGATCTTCCTGCCTCAGTCTTCCAAGTAGCTGGAACTACAGGCATGCACTACCACGCCTGACTAATTATTTATTTATTGTAGAGACGAGGTCTCGCCAAGTTGCCTGGGCAGGTCTCAAACCCACGGGCTCAGGCTATCCACTCACCTCAGCCTCCCAAAGTGCTGGGTTTATAGGCTGAGCCACCGAACTGGCCGACACAGAAACTTTGAGAGCTCCACATATAAATAGAGGTAAAGATTGTGAAAAATAAAAAATTCAAATTTGTTTGTCTGATTCTGTTTACCAAGTTACTTAATAGTATTAAATTAAAAATAAGATGCTGGGTGAGTAGCTCATGCCTGTAATCCCAGTACTTTGGAAGGCCAAGGCAATTATGACTGCTTGAGCCCAGGGATTCGAAACCAGCCTGGGCAAAATAGCAAGATCTGGTCTCTACAAACAATCAAAACAAATTAGCCTGCAGTCCCAGCTACTTGGGAGGCTGAGATAGAAAGACTGAGCCCAGGATGTTAAGGCTGTGGTGAAGCACGATGGTACCATTGCATTCTAGCCTGGGTGACAGAGTAAAACACCGATGCAAAAATAAAAAATAAAAATAAAAAAGAACAAGAAGCTATATGATTGAATTCTTTCCAATTTTCTGATCAAGTTAATTTTTCATATATAAGACACAAAACACACTATAAGGGAATATTCTTCTGACCTTTAACTTTGAAACCAATTGTAGCTTGCCTGGGTTTAAACTATCACAAACAGGAAGATCTGGTATTTCAGTCTGTGGAAACAAAAGTTACACCATTAATCTATACTTTATGCATGATTTCTCCCTCCATCATTCATCAAAATGTCTACTCCATATGCTTTATTTCCTCCAGTAATAGCAGAAAGCTCCAAATGCAATTGCTTCATTGATGACAAAGAGAATAGGATCCCCCATATTTAAAGGAATCATATTTTAATTAACCTTAATTTAAATGAACTTAATGTTTACAATGAAGTCATATCAAAGAAACATATTAAAACATTTCTTAAACAAACAGGGGCCGATGTGAAAGGAAGTCACGCTGTCCAAATCCACTAAGATATTTCATTCCTTCCGAGAAAATTTCAAAGGAAACGAATTGTACCTGTTCCACGGAATGTTTACGCAACTCCTGGCATGTATTTTCACAGAGCTGACTTTCCTCGAAAGTGAGTGACTCCATGAGTAGAGGTGTTGCCTGGGGGACAGAGTCACAGAAACAGGCAAGTTGCCTTTGTCCACCTGACACATCCAGTTTTGGTGGGTTGGCTGGACGATGGCAACGTTTACTCCCACTAACAAGACTGACTGTGTCTTTCAAGTGACCAAGTTTGGGTGTAGAGGAAGTTCGTCCAACAACCTCTGCAGACAGTTTTTCACAGGATGCTTGGGAGCCGGAAGCTGGAGTGGTACCTAAGATAGGGAAAGCAGGTGAACATGTGCCCGCTATAGTTCTGTCAGTATCATCAGGCGCAGCAGTATTTAAAGGAGTGAAAAGTAATTTGGATGGAGAAAAGCCCTTCTTTGTAGGCTGGCTTTTTAGGTCTGGCATCTGGGGATGTGATTTTCCTGGTAGAACAATAAGGTTTTCTTCTAAGTCCTCCATTTCTGTATCTGTTTGGTTTGGTTTCTCTAGAACAAGACAATTTCCCTTTTTCAGACGCTTCTCTTCATATATTTTTGATTCAAAGGGCTCTATCAGTTTTTGTGAGTAAGACTTCAGTTTTTCAAGCTTAAGAGGCCCAAAGTCTTCATCAGGTAACTGAAAGTCTCTGATATTGAGAAAAGATGACAGTTGCTTTAAACTTGGCATTCCACTCTTATGAAATGGAGCGATGAAAACATCATTATCCAAAGCTAAGTAAGCATTATTACTGGAAGAAAGGGAGTCCTCTTTCTGATGACTTTCCTTCCCTAAGATAGAAAAATAAGCAACAACAATAGTAATAAAACCCAAACAAAAGAGACATTAATACCCAACAAAGAATGAGCTTCTAAAATGCAAATAAAATAGACAATGTTCATTACTTTTCCTCTCCATGATTTTGAAACCTGGGTGAAGGGTTCAATAAAATAGTCATAGGTTAGTAGTTAACTAGTGGCTTCCCTTCTGCACTAGACAGAAAAGTATTAACCAAGAGAGTGAAGACTTGGGTTGAGTCCCAACTCAACCACTGATTTGCTGTGTAACCTTGGGCAAGTCAACTCATTTCACTTGTCCTTCTCTCACACTGTCCCCCATAAGGGTACTGAACCAAAAATCTCTAAATTCCTTCCCATCTCTATGATTCCAAAAGGCTACCTGGGTGCAATCTACAAAAGGCTGGTTCTTTTCACTAAAGAACACCTAGTCCCCTTTTCAAGCAGAGTCATTTAACGGCTCTTGTTGTGAATCGAATCCTATGCCACTTAAAACGCAGCTATATCCAACTGATGAGTGGACAAACAACCTGTGGTTCACATATATGATGGAATATTATTCAGCCATCAAAAGGAAGAAGTGCTGACACATGCTACAACATGCATGCACCTCAGCAACATCATGCTGAGTGAAAGCAGCCAGACACAAAAGGTCGTGCACTGATGTATTATACAATTCCATTTCAATAAAGCACCCAGAATGGGTAAATCCATAGGCTGAAGATCGGCAGTTGCCCAGGGTAAAGGCAGGAATGTGAGGGCGAGGAAACAGAAAGCTGCTGCTTAATGGTATGCGGTTTGGGGAGGTTGTTTTAGAACTAGATAGAGATGGTAGTTGTACTACACTGTAAATTAACTAAATGCTATTGAATTGTTCACTTAATTTTAAATGATGACGACTATTATTATTTTTGAGTCAGGGTCTCACTCTTGTCACCCAGACCGGAGTGCAGGGGCATGATCACAGCTCACCGCAGCCTCAACCTCCTAGGCTCAGAGGATCCTTCCGCCTCCGCCTCCTGACTAGCTGGGACTACAGGAATGTGCCAACACACCTGGCTAATTTTTTAATATTTTTGTAAAGATGAGTTCTCACTATGTTGCCCAGGCTGGTTTCGCAGTCTTGGGCTCAAGCAATCCTCCCGTCTTAGCCTCCCAGAGTGCTTGGATTACAGATGTGAGCCTGGCCTCTATTTTAACTTTCTATATTAGTTGTAAATATTTTACCCATGAATAAAAATTGTGCTCTGCCTGGATAAATATTAAGTAAACACTCAACACATTTTCTTTTTCAGTGTCTACCTTTTCAGTCACATAAGTGAACTCTGGTACCATATCACCTGGTTTGAATCCTGGCTCTGTCATTTGAATTAAATTAATCAAAGTCACTTTCATATCCCTGTGCCTTAGTTCCTCATCTGTAAGGTGAAGATAAAAATTGATCCTGGCTGGGCTCAGTGGCTCAGTCTGTAATCCCAGCACTTTGGGAGGCCGAGGTGAGTGGATTGCCTGAGCTCACGGGTTCGAGACCAGCCCAGGCAACTTGGTGAGGCCTTATCTCTACAATAAATTAAAATTGAGCTGGGCGTGGTAGTGCGCACCTGTAGTTCCAGCTACTTGGAGGCCTTGTGCCTCCAAGTTTACAGGTGAAGCAAGGCTAAGGACTGCCGGAACCCAGCAGGTTGATGCTGGGGTGGCTGTGTGTTTGCCACAGCACTCCAGCCTAGGCGACAGAATGAGACTTCAACTCAAAAAAAAAAACTGATTCTACCTCATGTAGGACTGTTGTGATGATTCAATGAGTAGGTATCTATACAGTATTTAGAAAAGGCCAGGCACATAGTAATTGTCAGCTATCGTGTCATCAAATACATCTTGATTTACTTTTAACTCTCTTCTTACCATGAGTGACTGATTTTTTGTTCTGATATTTGTATGTGGTCATTTCCTTCTCAGACCTCCTATGAACATCCAATGTGCTGGAAGTTGGCAAAAGTAGTTCATGATGACCTAATGCTGGGGTGCAGATTGCTTTTCTTTTTCCTCTGTGTCTTCTACCAGACGGTTGAGTAGCAAAGTCATTATCTTCAGTAGGCCCAGTGGGAGAGCTGACTTCAGTTACTGAGAGAAGTTTCTGAGAATTTCTTGAACTTGATTGTTCTGTGCATGTATCAATCATTCTAATTTCACTTTGCTCAGTTTTCTCATTGGAAAGGTTTAAATTTTTACTTGCTTCCTTATTTTTATTTTTAAGCCCTTTCTTCCTGACACCCAAATGACTCTGAATTACAGACTCCAGGGCTACTTTCTTCTGGGAATTTGACATGTGTCGTGTTGTTCTAATATAATATTCTGCAGGAAACAGAAGGCCTTCAAGTATTGTGCAAGAATGTATTTGACTTTCCGTAGTAGCAGGAGAGACTGCTTCTAGGCTAAGACTCTCAGATTGACTTAGAACCTCATTTTCCTGAAAAGTTTCACTTCCACTATCAAGAGTATTACTGGGAGATTTTAAAGATTTCTCTGTGTGACTTTGTTCTTTCACATTTTGATTTTCATTTGCTGATAAGTTACTGTAAGTGAGTTCATTTTTAGAACATGAATTACCTAAGTTAGAACTTCTAGGAAGCTGGTCACTTGTACTTACAGTCTTATTTACTACTGGATTATTTGTAATGACAGTTATCTTTTTGCCTTGTGCCTCCAAGTTTACAGGTGAAGCAAGGCTGATGTTTTTTAAGCCCTGAGCAGTAAGTTCACAGTTACCTTTAGCAGGCATGTGCTCAAGGTGCTGGCTACTACTGCTATCTGACGGAATATGCAGAGGAACTGTAGTCTCCTTGGTGAAGTTAGTTTCTCTTATGAGTGTATTGACAACTCTTTCTGGTTTGGCAGTTTGTGGAATTAACACACTCTCTCCACTCGTTTCTGTAACTGATGCTGGAGAATCTGAAAGGTCAGACCTAGGACTTGAAAGGTGAGTCTTTATTTCAGTAACTAGTGACCTAGGATTTTTGCTATTGATTTCTTTCTGTTCCTTTTGTTTTTTTCCAGAGAATATAAGTGAATTAGAGTCAAAGACACATTCTCTCTCCTGTGAAATAAATGTTCTCTTCTGATGTTTCTTTCTTCTCCCTGGCAGCATAGTCTGCCCTTTCTTGTCATCAGAGCCACTGACCCTACAGGAAAAATGTTCTTGGATGTCATCTGTTCTTTGTATACATAATCCTTCTGGGCCATCTCCAGGATTAAAGGGCTCAGGCTCAACATCAATTGTGATAGATGTCTTTTCTCCAGTTTCTTCATCGAGATGTGTATTGATTTGCAACTTGTCACAAAGAGATACTTTACTTTCAGGTTCTGAGGAGAAAAAAAGTATGTAACTAATACTGTCCATTTAAAATGAAACAAAAAAATACTCCATATTTATTTTTAAATATTATATTTAAATACTTGATCAAACATTTATTTTTTAAAAAATCAACAGCATTTCATTCAGGTAGATAAAGGTTCAAGTGTTTTAGTTTGTTTCTTTTTTGAGACAAAATCTCACTATCACCTAGGCTGGAGTGCAGTGGTGCAATCATAGCTCATGGGAACCTCGAACTCCTGGGCTCAAGTGATCCTGCCTCAGCCTCCAGAGTACCTAGGACTACAGGCATGCTCTACTATGCCTGGCTAATTTTTTTTTTTTTTAGTAGAGCCATGGTTTTGCTTTGCTGCTCCAGCTGTTCTTGAACTCCTGGCCTCAAGTGATCCTCCTGCTTTAGCCTCCCAAAGTGCTGGGATTATAGACATGAGCCACTGTGTTTAGCCAAGGTTCAAGCTGTAAAAATTTGAATAAACTAGGAAATATTAAGTAAAGAAATAGAATCGTGTTAAAAAAGTTTTTATAAACTAAAAGATGATGTATTCTTTATCACAATAATCTTTTCTCTTAAGTTCTTAATCTTACCTAATTTTTATTATTAAAAACATATTTTTAGAGGTCTCACTTTGTAGTCCAGGCTGGAGTGTAGTGGCATGATCATAACTCATTGCAGCCTCAAACTCCTGGGCTAAAGTGATCCCCCCACCACAGCCTCCCTAGTAGCTGGAACTACAGATGCATACCACCACAACTGGCTAACTTTTTTTGTTTTTTAAATAAATATGGAAGTCTTACTCTGTTGCCCAGCTGGTCTCAAACTACAATTTCTGGCCTTAAGAGATCCTTAGGTTGCCTCAGCCTCCCAAGTGCTGGATTATGGGCATGAGTTACCATGCCTGGCCAACTTTTTATCTCATATTTCTCTATTTTTGGCACAAGTAATTTTAATACCACTTTCCCATTTCAACTGCTCCTAATTTTATGTATAAATTACCTAAATTTTAACACCAAAAATGATCAGTTTTTTAGAGAATTTGCAGATTTTTTTTTCTGTTGATATATACTGAAATTTTTCTTTCTTCCAAGATATGAAACAGAAAATACTTCAATTTTTAAAAATTATCTTTCCTTTTTTCTTTTTTTTTGAGTCGGAGTCTCACTCTGTCACCCAGACTGGAGTACAATGGCACGTTCAAGGCCACCGCAACCTTGACCTGCTGGGTTTAGGCGATCCTTCCGCTTCAGCCTTCCAAGTAGCTGGAACTACAGGAGCATGCCAACATGCCCAGGTACTTTTTTGTTTTTTGATTTATTGAGGAGATGAAGTCTCACCAAGCTACCCAGGCTGGTGTTGAACCCCTAGACTCAGGCAATTCTCTTGCCTTGGCCTCCCAAAGTGCTGGGATTATAGGCGTGAGCCACTGCGCCGGCCCATTTTTTTAATATTTAAAAAGAAATATAATTTCTAAAAGTTGAGAGGGTAAAAGAGCAACTAAATAAACAATGTGGCCGGGCTCAGTGGCTCAGCCTGTAATCCCAGCACTTTGGGAGGCCGAGGTGAGTGGACTGCCTGAGCCCGTGGGTTCGAGACCCACCTGG